CGAACAGTTGAACAACACTGGTTGGAAAGTGAAGAGGAAAACGCTCGCAGGGGGGACCAGACCCTGCTCCTCTGGCTGGGGCTATGCCTCCTCGGGTTCGACTTGCATCATCGGACAAACCTACCCACCAGACAGCGGCGTGTACTGGTGTGAATCTGTCAGTGGGGAGCAGAGCAATGTGGTCAACATTACCATTACTGGTATGAATAACACTACGTTAAGTTCTGCTATGCAACATTTAAACTTAAAGTCACACTTATTAAGGCAGATCATTTAGAAACGAAGCAAAGAAAACCTACAAAAATGACAAATCTTGATTTTCTGCATTTTCCAAAGATCAGCCTGTGATTCTGGAGAGTCCTGCCCTTCCCGTGTCCGAGGGAGCCACTGTAACACTGCATTGTACACCTGAAACAAAGTCCTTCAACCAGTTTTTTGATTTCTATAAAGATGGCCACTGCATCAAAAGGAACTCCACAGGAGAAATCACCATTAAAAGGGTTTCTAAATCTGATGAAGGACTCTATAAATGCAGCATTTCAGGAGGTGAAGAATCACTAGGCAGCTGGCTGGCAGTTGATGGTGAGCAACAAAAATCCCATCACATACACAATGTTGAGCAATTTAAAATTTTTAAGCATTTTAAGAAAAAAGAAATTTAAAAAAATGGCTGTTAGAGGAATTATATCTAAAAACTCCAAAATTTGCATATTTGTCTATGTGTTTTGTACATCTGCAAATGATGAAGAGAGAAAAACATTCTACCCCTAAAAAAGACACAATTAAAGAAAACATGTATTTAATAAAGCATTTAAATGTATAATTTCCATGTTCATCTCTTTACAGCTTCATCTCAGGAGTTTCCTTCATCTACATCTGCAGCTGAACCGGCCGCTCCCTGCTCTTTTTCTGTCTTAAGACTAGTATTTCACCTGTTGGTGGGAACGCCTTACCTGGTGTCCACTGTTCTACTGGGGCTTATATACCGAGACAGGAGGAGAGGTAAAGTAAACCCTGCAAGTGTGTAAGAGGTATTTCTTATCAGATTGGGTTATAACAACAACAACAACAACAACATGTGCTATCAGCTAGTAAACTATTTTCTGGAGGCTTTTGTTTGTTGTCAGTGACAATTTCTGTTAATCAAAACTGTTGTCTGAAAATAGAATGTTACATAAAATAGATATGTCATCTATTGTTGATTATTTTGTTGTCTTCATTTTTTTTGCATATTTGGCACAGTGACATGCATCAAATCATTAAGAAAATAATAGTCCAATGTATCCAAACCTGTTCATTTTAAGAATTTCCTTAAACAGAACCTTTGTGACAAAGTGAATCAGCCTAAAGATTACAAAAAGCAACAGATCATGCCACAATCTACAGGAACACCGCAAGCGAGGTCACAAAACACCATCTAAAGAACTGCAGCCTTCACTTGGTTCAGTAAAAGTCAGAATTCATGATTCAACAATAAGAGAATGGATACAAATTGTATTCATGGGAGAGTTCTAAGTAAATCACTGCTGACCAAAAAGAAAGGCTCATCTCACAGTGTCAAAAACATCTCGATGATCCCCAAAACCTTTGGCAAACTAATGTCTGGACTCACAAGACAAAAGTTTTTGGAAGGTTTTCTCATCTCACCTTTTCTCAGCATGAGAAGATCATCATGCCATCAGTCAAACAAGGTGGTGGTAGTGTGATAACTTTGCTGCTTCAAGACCCGGACATCTTACCATAATTGATGGAACCATGAATTCTCCTCTCTACCAGAAGGCCCA